TTAAGAACCACTCAGTGGAGAGTTAAAGGCTCAACTACTTTATCTATTTATATGATTCTTATAGCTTGGCCTTCTTATTCATTTTAGAGCAAAAACTATTCAATATTACCATAAACATATTTAGCATTAAATTCTCTTCTTCTAAGGGCTGACAATCATAAAATTATTCTCTGAAAAGTCCTCTTAAACATGACCACAGCCTCACAGGCTTACCTTCAGTTTTCCATGTTCTTTATTTCATCAAGATTGAATAATCACAACCAGAATCGTGATAGACATTATTTGTAATACATCTTCAAAACTAATAGTTTGAAATATATTATGAGCAGAATTAAGTGCCAAAGTTCTTTCTCTGAAAATTCTTGCCAAATATTTTTACTTCCATTCCTGGAATCTTTTTTTTTTTTATTATTTCATACAATTCTGAACAGCGAAATAGATTACCTTGAGTATATATAATTCTTATTTATTTTTTGATCCACTTTATTCTTAAATTAATTGAATAAAATTTCCTTTTAATTCTTTAGCTTGAAGGTGAACCACAATCCTGGTTATCATATAGCAGTTGCATTGCAGTTTTAGCCAGTAAATACCAGTTACTGATCACTTGGTGCCAGAAACATGTTAATTACTTCACATGTATTACTTCATCTAACTCTCATAGCAACTCCATGAGCTAGATATTATTATATACTTATATATTAAAGATAATACTATAGGAAGTGATTATTAGGAGATTAGAATAAGAAATGTCTTAAACTACACATTACATGATCATATTCCTTCACTTAGAAATTCATAATATCTCTTTAACAAACTTATTTTGTAATAAACCAATTGCTAGAGTTCTTACTCTCATCCAACATTGGGTTTATCAATAATGCTTTAAAATAATTTCATATGCCAAACTGTAACTTAAACGGATTGAATTTGATAGTTTCCACCTGTCTAAGATATTAACCTACACCAACAGTGTGGCTTCAGTGTTTGGAAATAGTCTCTCTCTCTCTTAAATAAAGACAAAGAAAATAAAATACCTTATTCAAGTGATGTACTTATAAGAACTCAGGACATGCTGTGAATTTGGCAAGCCAGCCTCCTTCATATTTCCTGCTTCCCCAGCCGTGATACTTCTCACTACAGGCTGGTGTCTGGAATCCCACAGTTGCAGATTATTTTTATGACATGAGTAACTAGATCTTGGGTATGTTATATCACTTAAGATTCTTGGGCTCTGACTAAAATTACAAAATAATTTTACTTAGAAAGATATAGAGGACTTAACCCATTTGACAGAACAGGCACGAAAAGCAAGTCAAACTCTTGGCAGTTCACAGGATCAACTGACAATGCAAATCTCTTTTTACCGGGAGTAGTCTAGTCTGGACATGATAGCAATCCAGGACTTTGATGCTTCTGCCACTGGACACATCGCTGCTGCTGTCGGCAGTGAATCTTACCCCCCTTCAGCCTCACTTCCCAGCAAGAAGCCAAGCTTGGGACGTAAGCCACTGCTGCCACGGGAACAGCAGCAGGGGGTTCTGCTGTCCTGGATCTTGCAGTCGAAGTCAGGGCATTTCTGCCGACAGTCAGAACTCAGTCAGAGACAGAGCCCTCTTTGAGTGTTTCAGTAGGAAGAAATCTCATCAAGAGAATTAGGTGCCTACTGAACAACTGGCAGGGTTTCTAGCCCTCAGATTTTTGCTAGCATTCAGATATGCTGGTTATAGCTAATGTTGCTTTGGTCAAAAATGTGATAAGACTGTTTATTAGCCATAGCCTGATCATCAGGACCTCATCTCATTCCCTTTTATTGTTGAGTAGTGTTCCATTTTATGTATGTACCATAATTTGTTTAACCTATTGCTCATTGGGGCATTTGGGTTATTTTCAGATTTTGACTAAAGCAAATGAAGCTACTATTAACATTCATGTATGAGTCTTTGAATGAATTTATGCTCATCTTAGCTAAATAGCTAGAAATGAAATGGATGAATCATATTATGGGTGCATGTTTAATTTTAAGAAACTGTCTAACTGTTTTCTAAAATGATTGTACCATACTACATTTCCACTAGCAGTGTGTGAGGGCTTCAGTTGTTCTATCTGCTCACCTACATTAGGCCTGGCTAGCCATTTTACATTTTAGCCACTCCAATAAAGGAATAGTAATATCTCACTGTGGTTTCAATGTGCATGTCCCTAATGACTAATGATGTTGAGCATCATCTCATATCCTTACTTACCATTCATACATCTTAAATGATTACTATCAGTTCATATCTTGCATTCTTGAGGTAAATGTCATTTGGTCATGACGTATTATATAAGACACTAAAAGAAAGTGTTTCTCTCTGAAAACACCAACACCAAATGAATATTTTTAAAAATTAGTAACTAAAAAAATGCTAATGTAATATGACTACCTTAATCTATTCAGGTTGCTGTAACAGAATACCTGTGTAGTGAGTGGCTTATACACTACACAGACATTTCTTGCACACAGTTCTGGAGGCTGGGAAGTTCAAGTTCAAGGTGCCAAAGATTTGGTGTCTGGTGAGAACCCCCCCTCTGGTTCATGGATGGAAAGGGCAAGGGAACTTTCTGGGATCTCTTTTATAAAGTCACTAATCTCATACGAGAGCTCTGCCTTCATGACTTACTCACCCTCCAAAGGCTCCACCCCCAAATACCATCACATTGCAGATTAGATTTTAACATATAAATTTGGGAGGACACTAACATTAAGCTTACAGCAATGACAATGGCCATTCTACTTTATCTACCATGAATAATAACGTGTAATATGATCCAGCTGTATGGGCTAAGAGAATTCTCACCTCATTTAAATATCTATGTCCATAATCTTTCTTTTCCTACAATGTCTACTTTAGGTTTACCAAAGAAGATGAATGAAAATTAAAAGCAAAACAGAAAGTTTCTGAAGTTAAAATTAACTTTTAAATTTGTTTCCCATTTTTGATGGTGTTGATAATGATCTATTCAGTTAGCTGAAAATATAAATGGATACAATATTTTCTTTAAATAGAAGTTCTTAGTTAAAAAATCTGAATGCCAAGGGTAACCCTTTTATCACCACTGAAACAAAGCAAAACACATTTTCCTTCACTATCTATGAGTGGTATCACCTTTAGAGATGAAAATCACTATACATACCACGTACAGAACATGTATTGGAGGTTAAGAATAAGTCAGGGATCATGCACTGTTTCTACATTTAGCCCCCCAAATAATTTTGACTTAGCAAACACTGACCCAGCTTTATACAGGAAATATGTATTGGGAATTAGATGTTTTAAAGTTGAAAGCAATTCCCTTATAAATAGCAGAAAAAGAAGGCAGACAACTTCTTTGGAAGGAAAGAATATAATGGTAAAAAATAGATGACGCCTACACAAATTGTCTTATTGAGACTGTGAGGGAAACTTTTGTGATATTCAAACTTATCTTCTCTACTTCCTCAATGCTTCTGCCCCAATTACTTATCCTCAGCATGGGAGGGTGCCCTCAGCTAGTTGCACAAGCCAGTATCGGGTCCTGCACACTACCCTTGTCAGACATGTTCACCCAGGTTACATGGCACTAAGTGGCAATGTCAACTGGATAAAAACTCTCTCTCTTCTGCTCCGGTCCTTCTGCAGCCCTTGGGGGACCAACTTGGAAAAACCACTTTCAAAAGGCATGACCGAATAGGCTTGTTAGAAGGAGAAAGAGAGGGAGGAACGGGCAGGAAAGGAAATGGTTTGTGGATAACTGAAATGTGATGATAAGACTTCTAGTCTGCTCATATTTTCTATGTGGGGCTATATGGATCAGGAGTCTCAGTGTATAAAACCACCCCATACTTAGAGTAAAAGAAAAAAAATAGTTCAGCTCATTAGGGAGGGCAGGTGCAATGCTTCTTATTATTCTCCCTTTCCTGAACTCATAGGTAAAATCACCACTTCACATTTAATTTGATGCTGGCATTATCTTATTTAGAAAACAATAACCAAGTGTCAACATGGTTCCATGTCTTTGGGGAAGAAAGAAAAGTGATTGTGTGGACAGTACATCTACTTATAGACACTGTAGCAACAGTTTTCTTTGAAAGTAGAAAAATTATTCATAAAAATAATTTTCTTTGCAATGTGTAAGAGGGTAAAATAACATCTGAGCAGCTTGAATTCATATATATATATATATATGTATATATATATATATATACACACACACACACACACACACACACACAAACATACATATATATCTGAGTATGCTGAGTCTATTGGTAAAGGAATCTAGACATTACTGTGTTTGTAGGGAGGGCTAAGAAGCTGCCTTGGAAAGAACTCGCCCATGAAGGAGGAAGTAGCTGGCCCAGGAAAAACACCGACTTTACTAGCCAGAGGGGAGAAGCTGTCATGAAAGCCATGCCTGGCTGCGGCACTGGGAATTGCCTCATGTGACCCCACGGGACTTATCTAGATCCAGTGGAAGGCAAAGACGCTGAGAGTGAAATGGAAACAGACTTTCATTTTAAAAACCCTACTAGGCATTATATTGCCAGAAGCCATCTAGTGTTCTCCTAGGCAGAATGGGGGAAAGAACCCAAGGTAGAGTCTGATGACTGTCTGAGGAACTCAGAAAGCCCCAGTGCCCATGAGGGTCCTCAGAGACGACTGGTAGAGGTGAGAAGTTTTAAGAAGGCCAGCTCTGAGCCAGATGAATGGAGTTATCATTTAAATTAATCTAGTGCAAGAGGAGAGAAGGCAGGACCTCGGTACAGATACAGGACAGCGAGTCTGCAGAAGTCTGCTTGCTTCCATTTCCTTGGGAAGGTGGGAAATGGGTCATCACCTGAAAGGGGTTGAGGTGCTGGAGGAGTGAGAAGAGAAGAGGAGGCATGAAATAGTCACTCGTGGCAGAAGAATGAATCGATCAGGAAAACGTCATCTGATTCCTGGGTAGCATGGAGGACCCACTTAAGGTTCGTGATCATGAATGACAAGAACCTGCCCCCAGGTTGTTTGTTCATCTCCACCAACCCTGGGCTCCTCTGTACTCCTGCTGCTGGAGTGAAAGTGGAGCGAAGGAGTGCTTCCCAGAAGCACATGGAGCTCGGGGACCTCTCTTCACACCTGGTAGAACCTCCTAGTAGAACACCATTTGCAGACATTTATTCGGCGCCTCACGGATACCATGGCCAGTCTCTTCATGCCTTTCGGTTGGTCTCAATATATTTGTTATCCTCCAGCCCGCACCTCTGGGTTCTAGGAAGGGGGAAGAAAAGAGGCAAATGGCAAAACTGCCTGTCCCCCAATAAGGGGAAAAGCAAGTAATGAAGAAAAACCAATCTCATGAGAATCCCTAGATGAAGTAAATGGACTAAAAGGAGCGGCCAGGCAGCCTTGGGGAAAAGCCTCTCTGACACCAGGAATTAGAAGAGTTTCACCAAGGACAGGGAAATGTCTGGGCTCATTGCTTTACAAGCCTGCTTCTACGAGGTGTGAGAGAGAACAGAGACGCAGGGCTAGTGTCACAACAGAGAGTAGCTGGACTTGTCGGGATGGAGAGAAATGGCTAACTAAGAGAACAACCCCCTGGCCGGTTTGGCTCAGCGGTTGGAGCGTCCGCCTGCGGTCTGGAGAGACCCGGGTTCGGTTCCCGCTAAGGGCATGTACCTCGGTTGCAGTTTGTCCCTGGCCCTGGTTGGTCGTGTGGGTGGCAGCCACTCGGTGTGTCCCTTTCACATCGATGTTTCCCTCTCTCTCTCTTCCTCTCTCTCCCTCCCACTCTATCTGTACAAAAAATGGAAAAATGTCCTCGGGTGAGGATAAAAAAAAAAAAGAAAATACCATTGCCCTGGCCAGTTTGGCTCAGCGGTTGAAGCGTCCGCCTGCGGTCCGGAGCGACCCGGGTTCGGTTCCCGCTAAGGGCATGTACTTCGGTTGCAGTTTGTCCCCGGCCCTGGTTGGTCGTGCGGGTGGCAGCCACTCGATGTGTCCCTTTCACATCGACGTTTCCCTCTCTCTCTCTTCCTCTCTCTCCCTCCCACTCTGTACAAAAATGGAAAAGTGTCCTCGGGTGAGGATAAAAAAAAAAGAAAAAAACATAAAAGAACAACCAACCTGGGAGAAAGGCACGAGAGGGACACTGACCTGCCCCTCCTTCCCTGTGGATTCCTAGTGCCGGGGACAGGGACGTTTTCTGTCATGCACCTGGGAGCAAAGGTGAACATGACTTCCAGAGACAGGCTGTTTTTGTCAAGAAGTAATGTCTCACCCAAATGTGAGAGGTGCTTCCAAGTCTGTGAGCAACACCATGGGGATAGGATAGGTCCCAGAACAGAAAAAAAATGAACTCTGATAAATAACTTAAACAAAATCAAGGAGGGACATAAAGCAGGAAGCAAACCCATCAATTATGATTACATACAACTGCTTCTGAATTCTGAGGAGGAAGTGACAGGAATATAAAGCGAAAGTGAGAGAGCTGGAATCCACTCTAAAGGAAAGTGCACTGCAAGTAAAGGGAAATTTGCCATAAATACACTACGTGAATGAAATTGAAGAGGACATAAAATCTATGGAAAAAAAGATCATAAATAATTAAATAACAGAATGAGATGAGGGGTGACATTGTAGACAGAAGGAAAAGAGGGGAAAAAGCACATGTATTTATTTTTAAGAGAAATGAATCCAAAGATTGAGCTTAACTACATTCTTCCAGAAGGATGGAGTTAAAATAATGTAAACCAGGCGAATGCTCAGGAAAAGAAAGACAAAATCACCATGGGAATGTCAGGTAAGTTTGAATTCAAGAAAAATAAAAGATGTTAAATTTGTTAAAACATAAGTTTTTTTTTTAAAGTCATTAATGATGAAAAGAGCAATTCACCATGACTACCAGTCAGAGATAGTGACTAAAAGAAAGAATACCATTGTAAATGTCAACACAAATCTCAAAATCAGTAGGAGACTATAACTTTCTCTTATTAGCCTGTAACAGATCAAGTGAGAAAAGATTTATGAAGAATTTAGAAAATCTGAATAACATGATTATTCTGGCTAATCTAACCTGAACACAGAAAATATATCTCCTTTTGAAGTACTCATGGAGCAGTTAGGGGGGAAAATGATTGTGTGTTGTCTCAAAAGAAAAAAAGTAAATGAATTCAAAAGGTAAAAATATGACAAATTTTATTCTCAGATACCAATGCAATAAAATGATTAAAATATTTTATAAATCATTTGAAACAAAATGTACAAAATAATCTTATAACATTGGGGTCAAGTAAAAAACACAATGCACCATTTTTATGATATGTATTAACAACTACTTAAAATTTGTAGTCTAAAACCTCTGATAAATTCACTATTAATCTCAAAATTTTAAGGCAAAAAACGCAAAATAAATCTATGTAAAGTAAAAGCAAAGTGTAAATATATATAAAAATAAATAACTTCTTGTTGTTAATCCTCACCCGAAGATATTTTTCCATTGACTTTTAGATACAGCAGAAGGGAGGGAGGGGAATAGAGAGAGAGAAAGAAACATGGATGCCAGAGAGACACATGGATTGGTTGTCCCCTGCACGACCCCGACTGGGGTCTGGGATGGAACCTGCGACCGAGGCATGTGTCCTTGAGCAAGAATAGAACCCGAGACTTGCAGTCCGCAGGCCAACACTCTAACCACTGAGCCAAACCAGCCAGGGCAAAAATAAATAATAATAATAATAATATATTTTAAATTAAAAAAAAAAAACCTAGAACAAACCTGTAAAACTAGCATTTTGTTTCTGAAAACAAAAAGCAAAATACAATGATCACCAGCTGGCCTCCTAAAGTAAAAATATTGAAAGCAGAAGTATACAGAATCTAAAATAGGTAATGAGCAATAACCACATACATGAGGAATATTAAAACAAATAATAAAAGTACCATGCAAACTACAATGTAAATGAATTTTACCATTTGGATAATAAAATTTTTTTCTAAGAATTAATAGTAGTAAGACTCAAGAAAATGTGTTGGCTAACCTTCTCCTACCAAAAAAACCAAAAACCAAAACAAAGAAAAAAATGGAAGCTCCAGATTGTTGCAAAGATAAAATTTTCCTAAACTGCACTGGCCGGTTTGGCTCAACTGGTTATAGTGTCTGCTTGTGTACCAAAGAGTCTTGGGCTTAATTCCAGACAAGGGCATGTACCTCAGTTGCAGTTTGTCCCCAACCCCGCAACAGTCGATGTGTCTCTCTTGCATAGATGTTTCTCCCCTCCCTCCCTTCCTCCCACTCTATCTCAAGATAAATGGAAAAATATCCTCGGGTGAGGATTTTAAAAAAAATTGTTTTTCACCTGGCCGGTGTGGCTCAGTGGTTGAGTGTTGACCCAAGAGGTCACCAGTTCCATTCCCAGTCTGGGTACATGTCCAGGTTGTGGGCCCGATCCCCACTGGGGGACATGCAGGAGGCAGCCAATCGATGTTGTCTCTCATCTATGTTTCTATCTCTCTATCCCTCTCCCTTCCTCTCTCTCTAAAATCAACAAAGAAAAAATATTTTTAAAAAAACATTTTTCCTAAACCTCCAAGGGACAAGTTATACCCATACAACTTAAACATTTTAAGTAATAGAAAAAGAAACCTCCCAGTGTTTTATGAAGCTAGAGTAACACAGACACCCAAATCTGAAACGTCGGCACAAACACAGAAACCTGCAGGTGAATCATATTTATAAACGTGAAGGTAGCAAATCTGAAGAAAAAATTGTGAGACAGCCCTTGGCAGTATTTTACGACTAGAATATATACCATGCTGAAGATGAATCCATTCTAGGAATACAAACGTGATTCATTTTAAAGAGATTTTTTAGTTTAATTCAATATAATAGCATGTTTGTCTACCCAGAAAGCTAAATAGGAAATGGTTGTTTGTTTTCAACACCTGGAACAGGGTGGGGCAGGCAAGTCTGCCTGAAATGACAGGCGGCAGAGGAGCACCTTCCTTTGGGAACGTGGATCCTGTCATCAAATGCGCGGAAATACTGCTCAGTGGGAGACACTCAATAACTAGACGACACAGGGTTGGAGACACTGGGAGTGAACACCTGCACCTCACGTGGCTGGGACCAGGCTGAAGCAAGCGAGGCCCTCCCCTCAGGTGAGAAACATAAAGGGACCCCAAGAGACTCAGTAAGCAAGATAAATAATGTTGATGCAAACATCCACGATAAAGAAAATACCAAATTTTTAATTTTTACTTTTTAATCGTAGCTGGCATAAGATACATTAGTTTCAGGTGTACATCCTAGTGATTAGGCATTTATATACCTTACAAAGTGATCACCAGGATAAGCCAAGTAGCCATCTGTCTCCATACCTTGTCATTCCGATATTATTGATTATATTCCTTATGCTGCACCTTATGTCTGTGACTTATTTTATAACAGGCAGTTTGTACTTCTCAACCCTCTTCACCTGTTTTGCCCACTTTTTACACACTCTCAAAATACTAAATTTTAAATGAAGGCAAGGTCCAATCCTGGACTTGTAGGACTCACCTCACACACAGCCCTGTTGAATGAGAAGATACTGGGACGTTGGGACACAAGGAGAAAGGTTCCTGCGGAGTCTGGACTTGAAGGTGTTGAGGGTGATACCCAGACGGGGCTTGAAGGTGTTGCCCAGCTGCTGCTGGTTTTGTAGGTGATTAAAGGGAGATACCATTGTGGGGGGTTCAGTCCTCTGAGGCGGCAATGATGCCCAGCTGGTAATGATATCTTGAGGGAGCACTGATGAGACTGTTTCTGGTAATATGTGGGGAAAATGTTTAAAAACTAGGAACTGGAGCTAACTTCAGTTGTCAGGGTGAAGAAACTCTCCTAAGGAACAGTGACAGGAACAAAGAGCAGAACAGGAAAGAGTATCTCTTTTCCTTTCTCCAGTCTTCAGAACCCTTCTAATAATTCTAATTAGTGGACTTCAGCTGGGAGACACATGACAAAATAGGAATATGGTTTTTAGAGCTTTGGATCCAGCATCATAGAGCAGAGTATAGGAAGGTTGTTTTGGAGTGGAGAATCAGCAATGTAATGAATGACCAGCACTTTGAGCTTGGTAATGTGTGTTGATTTGATCAATGTAACATGGGTGGAAGTAACAGTGGGACCGTTCCAAACTGAGACCTTCAGAGGCACTGAATTTTTCTGCTCACTCTCCCGTAC